TCCATTTGGTGCTAAACTGCGGTAGATTAAGAAAGACTAAGTGCGGGTTGTGCTTAATAGGCCGTAAATGGGGTAGTTAACCCTATATCAATGATAAATTATACGCTTCAAAAAGCCTACTTGGACTTGGAAAGATTTCGATGTTGATGAAAAGCATCAGACTATGTTAACGATTGGATCTTGAGTTGGTTTAGATTTCACGACACCTTCCTCCACATCCTATGAAAATCATATCTGTTATTATACAAATAGTCAACCATTTACGATCTTTCAAAGAGCAGTTGAGAAAATCGCATTCCGATCGTAGTTTTGCGTTAATTGCAACTTGAATTGCAACAAGATGGAATGCTCTTATAGTCTTATTGTTCTTATCTTGATGCAATATAGTGTGCACATTCTTATGCTATCTTTGATTATCTGGGGATGCAATATGCAAGTTAATTGACACTTAACTTTCATCAATTTGATTAAACATAATTTACGATCTAATTTGTAATAACCATTTCAGTTTCAAAAACCTTACAGCTTATTTGTGATACGGTACGATACAAAAATGAATCATCGCCAATAGGTTGAAAATTTGCATTCTTTGTATGATAATGAAGTATGATAATTGTCTACCACTCATTGTAGCACGGAAACTAAGTCCGATAGCAATGGGCGCTCCTCACTGTTTGATTTGATCAAGCATAATAACCTCTGATTGTCCTCAACATGTGACTATATGAAGGACCAAAAACGGTTTTGGTGGATCGATAGGTACGCCACCACGGGATGATAGAGAATCTCCTTCCAGTTACATGATCATACAATTGGTCAAGAAACGAGCCGTCCGACAGAAGGATACCCCAATGAGTGTGGAGAAAAACCTGCTCTTTTTCCACGAGATGTTAACAACAGGGAGTTGACAATTTCACTCTCCCCGTCCAAATCGCATCAATTCGGTGTCCTGGCGGTCCTTCCCCTTCCTATCATGTATTGGTTCATATAATAATATAATGTTTTATATGCTTATTCTTTCCTTTATTTAACGTCGGTCTCTGTTCCGCAATCTAGTGCCAATCACCGACGGACATCGATTGCCATCCATTGACGGCAATCGAATGTGCAGGAAGGCAGCTTCGCACCCATTTAACACACATGGGCCGGGACCAACGGCTTTACTTCCCTTCCGAAGGAAGATGTGACCAGAGATTTTTATGGCTCAGAAAAATCCCACCGACCTCGGCTGGGATTGAACCCTGACCCATTGGGGATTGATTTATATGCATATGCTATCATTTTGTGAAAGTATATAAGGTGGCTTACGTTTGATGATGAAGTAACTTACCTAACTGATAACCATCTTCGTTCTTGTCTTTTGTTGGCCTTCTGGTAGGTGGTTGGCCTAAGGTCTCCTATCCCCTGATAGGACTGCCATCTTAGGTGTAGCTTCCGGGGAAAAGCATTTCTTATTCAGCCGCTGCATGCCAGTCAGACGCTTTTTGAGCCACACCTTCGTGGTGGACAGACGCACCTCCTCACTTTGCTATTGTCGGATTGACAACATTGCCCAGGCTACGCCACCCAGCTGTGTACATGTTTCAGCTGGTAGTCGTTTGTAATCATATGACTCGTGGAGGCGTGAGGTAGGGACTTGTGAGGACCGGAGCTTGAATCACTCTCCTTTCAGGTTGTCAACTCACCATTTTGTGGCCCGATTGAAAATTTGCATTCTTTGCGATTTAACCTAAACATTATACGGCGCATCTCATTCTTGTATGCGATGTTGACTTTATCAGTAGCAATTTACGATTATATTTGTACGCTGGTATACGACTTCTGGTTGTCTGGAGGAGTGTGCTTTGACTAGTACTGTCGCCATAATGGCCCTTCGCTCATTTTCAACAGTTCTATTCAATTTTCATACTGCTGTACTCTAGCGGAACTATCAACCTACCCTCTTCAGACCTTTTTCTAGCCCATAAATTATCACACTAAAGCTTCATGTTAGATAGCATTTCCAATCAACTCTGAAAATCATAAACTTCACGTATGAAGTAACAGCCACAAGAAATCGATATGAATTTCATAGATTTAGCTTATGAAAAATAATGTCGATAATAAAATAAATAAATGGAGCAGACTGGAACCGAACCATGAACGTTGAGATTTCGGGTCCTGTGTCTGAACCAAGCATGGAAAGTCATTTTCATTCATTCCGTTCATTCATTTACATTCATATGCCTCTAACTTTTGCCATCAACAGAATTCTGTAAAATGATATTTAAAGCTTTTGTAGGTTTTAGTATTAGCACAACTTTTGTGAATAATTAAAATCTGTATAAGGGAAATGGCTCTAATGTTGGCCTATGGATCTAAGATTTGGCCCATCGCTAAAAATCTGCTATTTATCAATTTTATCTAGATGAACGCGTCATTGGGTCGCTACTGGAAATTTAGTCGATTGCTGAATTTAAATATGGACCCTAATTAGGGGCATTTAGGCCGACTTTACATCCATATCCACTATCTTATGCATGACGAACTAGCGCGGGTAGAAATTTTTATTGTTTTTCAGTGAATGTAACTTACATTTAACAAATCCTGGTTGATTCTGTTCGCTCTGGTTCATCATGCAAGAGAGATACAGGTTTGAAATAAAGCTAATATTAAAACCTACAAAAGCTTCATACATCATTTTACGCAATTCTGTTGATGAAAAAAGTTAGAGGCAAATTAATGTAAATGAATTTCCATGCGTGGTCTGAACAACTCGTCTGTTATACGAAAATCTTTCATAAGTCGCGCCTACGAAATCATTAAGTCTATTTGCCTCAGTGTACATACCTACACTGCCTATAAAGGGTGATACGGTCAAAATTTGGTCAAGGGAAAACGCGTGTAAATCGGTGAAATCGTTTATTTAAAAAATCAAATTAAATTTCTTTTTCAAGTTCAATTAGTATAAAATTCAGGAAAAATATTCAGTTAGGCTTCCGCTTTTCCAAATCTGAATTGCCGGGCCTTACGCTTGACCCCTGCCATCAGATTTTGTACAGCCACCTTGTCCACCTTCTTCGCCGCAGAAAGCCAGTTTGCCTTGAACTGCTGCTCGCCCTTAGCAGTTTTTTGGTCTTCTTTAGGTTCCGCTTGACAATAGCCCAGTATTTCTCAATTGGGCGGAGCTCTGGTGTGTTGGGAGGGTTCTTGTCCTTGGGAACCACCTGCACGTTGTTGGCGGCGTACCACTCCATGGCCTTTTTACCGTAATGGCAAGATGCCAAATCCGGCCAAAACAGTACGGAACAACCGTGTTTCTTCAGGAAAGGCAGCAGACGTTTATTCAAACACTCTTTCACGTAAATTTCTTGGTTGACAGTCCCGGAAGCTATGAAAATGCTGCTTTTCAAGCCACAGGTAGAGATGGCTTGCCAAACCAGATATTTCTTTGCAAACTTTGACAGTTTCATGTGCTTGAAAACATCTGCTACCTTTCCCCTTCTTTTTGCCGTATAAAACTCCTGTCCCGGAAGCTGCTTGTAGTCGGCTTTGACGTAGGTTTCGTCGTCCATTACCACGCAGTCAAACTTCGTCAGCATCGTCGTGTACAGCCTCCGGGATCGCGCTTTGGCCGTCGTATTTTGTTTATCATCGCGATTTGGAGTCACTACCTTCTTGTAAGTCGATAATCCGGCTCGTTTTTGGCTCGATGCACGGTTGTAGACGATACACCCAGCTTATTTGCGGCATCTCGGAGAGAGAGGTTAGGGTTTCGCTTGAAACTACCGGCAACTCTCTTTGTCGTCTCAGCGGCTTCCGGTTTTCGATTTCCCCCCGATCCAGACTTCCTGGCTGTCGACAAACGTTCCCCAAACACTTTAATTACATTTGTAACGGTTGATTTGGCAACTTTTAGCGATTTTGCCAACTTTGCGTGCGAGTAGCTCGGATTTTCGCGATGCGCGAGCAAAATTTTGATACGCTGCTCTTCTTGCTTGGACGGCATTTTGACAACTGAAGAGTGAATTCCAAAATCAAAATAGGAGCAACATTCTACACACACATACCTTCAAAATGAGGGGTGTTCAGGTTTTTTAAATGCAAAATTGAAAGAAATACGTCAAGTTGATATTGACCAAATTTTGACCGTATCACCCTTTAATCAGTCCCATATGGATTTTCGTTAACTTTGAGATATCACCGCTATACACTATCAAACATCAACTTTCATATAAACCTACGGACTTAATTCAGGCAAAGTAAACGCATATCAGTCCCATCCTTAAATTCAATGGTCCAGAGATCAAGTTAGAGTTTTGCATTTTGTATTGCCATATTTTTCGCTGATATTGCATCTGACTTTTACTTGAAAAAATAATTAATTTTCTCTGATTTTTCAAATTTTTGCATGGGAGTTTCACTTTGTAACTTTGACTTCTCAATGCCTACTTTTTTTCATATGGGACTATTATGCGATTATAGACAGTACACTACCAGTCATAAATATCGACTCGCTTGAAAAAGTATTGTAACATTCATATTGAATATTGCATCACCTTGAAAAGATTTGCGTCACTCCCCGTATTCACATTCTGTTTAGGTGATGCTAATCTTTTCAAGGTGATGCCATACTTATGACGGGTAGTGTATTGATAGGAACCTTAAATTCTTTTCTGCTTCAGTTGCTTCACGTAATACCAAGTAAGTGCAGAAGAGTTATTAAAGTTGGTTCGGATCTTTTACCTTCGAATGGCAAGATTGCTGAGATTCATTTCATAATAAGAATTTTTAACCGATGAAATCACAATAAGGTACTTCACTGCCGGTGGACGCACAATTGTTCCATGTGCTTGGAGTTTCGTATACACATGGGACGATTATGCTTCCACCGATTAGTTCAGAACTTCCTGGAAATGCAACTATCAAGACTAGTGAACCAGAACGATAAACCGAATCAAGAAAATATCGAATTCCCCGAAATCCACCCCGGAGAACAGGTCAAATGAAAGTAACCCTAGGTTCCCCTCTGTTTGCAGGTTCGGTTACACCCACCAACGCACCCTCGCCGGTGGACATCAGACACATAAACGTCGGTGGCCATCTGCCCGATTACGACTCGCCGGTGGGCTCCAACAATGCACATAAAAGACCCAGAATATCCGAAGGTTGGGCCACATAGCCTTTAAAGGATGGCGGCGGTGGCGGTCAGGGGGTTTCCAACGGTAGTCACCATCATCATCATCAGCAGCAGCAGCAGCAGCAGCAGCAGCAGCAGCAACAATGCTCCTATCTGGACGATAATTCGAACCAGATTCAGATGGGTAATGGTAGTGACAGTGAATATAGCCGAAAGTTGCAACAACATCATCAACAACAGCAACAACAGCAGCAACAGCAGCAACAACAACAACAACAGCAACAGCAGCGAGCATCCTCGTCGCAGCACCTCCATCCGTTCTACCACAGTGCGGTCGTGAATAGTAATAGCAACAGTAATCATAGTAGCGCCGGTGGTTATCCGAGTCAGTCCACGTCACCGTACAATAACAACAATAGTAACCACAGCAACAACAGTGGTCACCATCATTCTCCGTCGCCAGTCGGGATGGGCCATATGCAACAACCACAGCAACAGCAGCAACACTACTGAAAGCACGGTAGTTGTAGTAGGGTGGGTGAGGTTCGATTGTGATTTTTCGTAGTCACCATCATTCAGATTCAGAAGAGATTTCTTTTCGACTTTTAAGTTTAAGTGAGAGCATTGTTTGAGTGTGTAGGTGTGAGCGAAGTGGGTTGGTGGGAGGAATGTGCGTGGATCGATTGTAAGAAAAGTGCTGCAGCAGCGCTGCGCAATTGCAGCGCGTGACATCTTAACTTATTGCATAATGTTTCTTTGCGTTAGATATTACTACACCTGTACATATAGAAGGACCCGGGACGGGGAAATACGTTTTCTTTTCAGAGTTAGTCTCTAGTATAATTGTGTAGCGTTTTAGTTTTATTTTCTTTTTGGATAAGTGCAATACTATTGATTTAAATGAGAAAAAAAAAGTACACAGAACCATTAAACCAGAAAGAACCAGTTTTCCAAGTGAAACGTACAGTTCGATCAGTCAATTTTTGAGATAGTAGGGAACAAAAGGGAAGTAGTAGATTAACGACGACCGTCGTGGGGGGGAGGTTAATGCAAAAATCAGATATAATTGTAGGAAAATTTGTATTGCAAATCGTGCAGAGTAGGAACAGGAGAAATCAAGAGGACGTACTGAGTAAAGATAAGGGAAGCTTGTTTCCCTTTTTCTGGATGTGAATGTCGGTGTTTCACAAACAATATGTGTCGCTGTGTTCTTTTTAGGTTAAACAAAACAAAACTCAAAAAAACCCAAAACGGCGGTGTGAAAAAAACGGTGTGATTTGATGATTGCACTTGTGTATTACTTATCTGTTTACATGTGAGATATGTTTGGTGTATCAGAATATAAACAAAACAAAAATCAAGTGAGTGTGTGTGGATGTTGTCCGGGGAAATTTGCGCGCGGGGAAGAATGTGCAGACTGGGAAATCCTGCAGCAGCCAGACTCGAAAGCAGTTGAAGGTTCAAAACCTGTCACCTGTCATACCTAGATGACACTTGCACGTGTTATTCGTTCAAACCTTTCATGAATATCACCGATTCTAGTACGTCATCCGATCGAAGGGTGCCAAGAGATAGTCATTATTTACTAAAAAAAAACACAGACAACCAAACACACACACACACATACACATACTACTACTGCAGTGAAAGCCTTTCAAAGAGCGACACAATCATTTTCCCACTGGGATAAAAACATAAACAAGAGAAAAAGGAGGATTTCGCGCAGAAATCAAAGCAAGCCGTTTTGGCATCTCGCAGTAGGCGCGTGCGCGGAGTGTACTAGATTGTGCAAACACAATCTGGCGCAGGGGGGTGCGTGGTGAGCTAGAGACAGAGATAGGATCACGATGATACTCATAAGCTTAGAAAACGGAATCGGCGGAGACGGACGCAACGCGCCCGGTATAAACACGCAACCACATATCAAATCGGAAGCTGGAGATTTCCGTTCCCGGCGCGCGCGTTGTCTTGTGTTAACACAATAGCACGCAGGTTCAAATTTCGATTGGATTGATGAACACCCACGTGTTAGGGCGGTGCAAGAGTGTGCGCGTCGTAGCGTGCTGATTAGAGAGAAATACAAAACTACCCGAGTTTTAATCAATAGGAAATAGGTTCAAACAAAGCAGAGGAAGAGCCCTAGATGAGATGAAGAAAAAAAACTAAGTAAAACATAGTTTGTGTGCCATTAATAGGATTACGTAAAACAGAGAAATGAATCATGTATATTTTTTAGGGGGGGGAAAGAGAGAGCAGAAAGAAAGGATGGAAGCTTTCATTTTAAGGGATTTTTCTTCGTTTTCTTCCGTTTGCACACACACACACACACACCTCTGGATGATCTAGTACGTCAAGTCAGCTACTATCGTAAAATTATTCTATAATTGTTTCTTAATCTAGTACGTTGCCATAAGACGTTTAGAATCCCCTCTTTTATGACGACGTCGACGGTTCAGCTTAGTAGGCGTTGCATACACAAACACGCATGTATTGGTTTTTGTTTTTCGTCCTTTGTTTCGTTTCTAGTTCTAGTACTGCGTAGCAAAAAAAAAATATTACTAAAACAATCTTAGTAGCGTGGTAGCTGAACCAGCCAAGGAAAAAAAAAAGATATTTATTTCAAAACAATGATCTTGAGTTTGTTTGAGCTTTACGCTATTCCGGTAAAAAGCGGTTTGCTGAAATTAGATGAGAAAAGTTTAATATATGAAACGCTGAAATATTGTAAATTATAGAAGCAAACGAGAGCGAAACTGCAAGCTTTCTGGAGCTGAGAGATAAGCGATAGAGAAAGAGAGACAGAGAGAGATATATAGAGAGAGAGAGCGCGAGAGTAACCAGAACTTCACAGGCCAAATATTAGCGAGTGCTGGAAAACAAAATAAGAAAAAAATGAAAGAGCGAAATTATATCAGCAGTGCTGCAGCAACAGAGAACAGAAAGATATCACATACATTAGCATGGTATCGGTTTTTCTCTTTCTGTTTTTAGCGGATTAGTTGACTTCTAGTTTAAATTTCCTTTTTTCCAGTCATAGGTTTATAAACTCTTAATTTGAAATAAAAGAAAAATAATTTTTACATTGATTCGTTTTACGTTTGTTTGTTTGTTTGTTTGTTTTCGTTCTGTTTGATTTCGAAACATCCCTTTCTTCTGTTTGACTGAAAGAAAATTTCTGTGGGTAGAATCGTAGTTAGTAGCAAATTTCCTGCGCTGGGACGAGGTAGAGTAATAATAACTAATTGTAGCCATTAACACATACACACATACATAATTGTAGTAGAAATAATCCATCCAAAAATGCGAACACAAATTAGATTTAACGAACCTGCAAGACACCTTCCCTTGCATAGAAGCATGATAGCTGTTTACAGTGTAAGTGTACCATGAATAACAACAACATCAACAACAACAACAGCAAAAACAAAAAGAACAATTCATCTACCAGATAATCGTCAAAAAATGCCCCTTTTCAAACAACTTATGTGAAAGGATAGGAAAGAAAGAACTGCGCAGCTTCCTTTCAAATTTAATTTTAACTCACAAAGATACCACTTGGATGCCTATATAAAACTAATCTGATCCTGATTAAAAAAAAAAACAACTGTTGAAACTAACACAATACTAATACTTTTCTACTCGAATTTAAACAACACTGACAAAATTATGCTATGATCTCGAAGCGAAGGAAACAAACCAATCCTTACTAATTGAAAACCTGAAAAAATAAATAAAATAAAACACAGACCACAGACCTAATCCAATGCCCTTTAGAACGAAAAAAAGGGGAAAAACAAACAAATTACATTACAAGAAAAAATATGAATGTTAATTATTACCTCCACTTTGTAGATGCCTTAAACACAGTGCCTATGTAAGTAATCAAGAGAAGAACAAAAATGACCGAACAGAAGAAAAAAAAACCAAAAGAGTTATGAGGAAGGACTCAATCGAGAAAAAAACACACACACACAAACGTTCACAATCTGCACATGGACACACCAGAAGCATACAGACACACAGGCATAAGTATCGTGAAAATTTACATACTCATTCATTGCATTACAGCGTTCAAACAGATTCAAGCATGAACGATACATGAAATAGAATAGGATTTCCAAATGGTAATGTAATACGGATCAGAGTTTGTCCTCGTTCTTGTCTCCATGGCATCGCTTGACAGTGTGTCAGCTTTCGCTTGGAACATGGTTTTTTTTCCAATGGCCTGCTGAAAACGCACCAAAAGCATTCGTTTTCAAGGCCACCCTAGAATAATAGCTTCACATGAATTTTGCACTGCAGACACTGAACTCTGTCACTTCTTTCGACCAGTTCGTTATGATCAATATCAGCTTCAATTGACAAAATCGATGCGACGAAGAGACTGCTAGCTTTCTTTTTCTGTTGAAGTCGCAGCATTCTAGAACCTCAGTCGGCGTCTGTAAATAAATTTTCAATCGCTTGTCCCTCTTTCTCCCGTCGCTTCATTGGTCTTTCTTTCAAGCTTCGGTGAAGCGGACGACTGAAAAAGCGCTTGACTTTGATAGTTTCGTCTTTCATGAAGCACATCAACAGAGGTTTCATGACTTGTATGACGAAAAATGAAATTATATTTAGTGCATTTCTCACGTGAAAACACTTGAAGATTAAACGCAATTCGTTTAATTTATCCAAGGTTGCAAAGACTCATTTCAGCTAAAATAATGTTTTTCGAAATAATAAAACCAAAAGATGGTATGATGGCATGTTTTACTTGTAACTTACAAGAAGAGGTTACAAAGTATGCGTTGGAAACATAAAACCTGTAAATTTTGCTTTCTATGAGTCACAATCAGCGATTTGCTGATCGCTGAGTGAGTGAGTGAGTGAGTGAGTGAGTTTGTGAAAAATCGCTGATTGTGACTCTCATGAAGTGAAATAAACAGGTTTAATATGTCAAACACATTTTTTGCAACCTCTTCTTGTATCCTACCAATTCAAAATTTGATCATGGCATCTAATTATTTCATAATTTAGAAAAACATTGTTTTATCTGAAATGAGTCTTTGCAACCTTGAATTTATCTTGAAAGAGCGTTGATAGGGTGTCGATGAAGGGGTTTTGAAAGCCATAATGAGGTTTAATTTTATCTCGATAATGACCGTTACTTTCATTGAATGCGAACGACGAGAAAATCCACACCCAGTCTTATGTTCTAAGCGTGCTACTTTTCCATTTTCGTTTCGTGCTGATAGTCTAGCTAGGCGTTATGGAAATGATGCGTTGAACACGGTGTATGAAAGAAACAAAACTCGAGTTCAGTTTACAGCTTCGACAATATAGAGCCCTGGCTATGATCCCTGATTTTATTTCACATCTTTGATGAGCTTATCCAGCGCGTGGCCCGTAATGCCGGTAGATCACCATTAAGCGGTGCGTTACGGAGTAAGATCTACCACGTCGAACCCCCACCAAATAGCTCTCTTGTTGGTGGTGGTTCTGAGACTCGTCTTTTTATTTCGGAGAACTGAGATTATATCAAGGGGTAACTCACTCAGCACATTGTGCCGAAATTAGATTCGGCACAGCTTGGGCACATCCATCGGTACAGCTTCGGTACAATCTCGTACGTATTGGATTGTGGTAAATAAAATGGGAGCACTGCTGGAAAACTGTCATTGAAGTTGTTCACAACACTACGTGCTGTTTGACTGTATATTCAGGTACATCGTCTAATAAAAAATATATCAGAGGAACTCAAAACAGCAGTTCACTTCTCGGTTCACTCATAGATCTAAATACGAAATAGTGGTTCTAGAGTGGCCTCAATAGAAAGAGGCAGTTAATCAGACTCTATTAGCACCCTTAATTCAAACAATGCTGCAACTCAAAACAAACTAAAGGACTTAAGTCATATTCATCATCCTCTATAGTCAGTCTCCAACAATGTTCCGCACCGGTTCCAACTCTTTTCGGCCGCTTTTCACATCACGAAAGGCTAGGTTTCTGGTTTGCCTTTGAGAGCATTATAAAAGCCTAAAACACAGGACTTTTTATTATTTTATGAACACAAAACACCAACGTTCCGCACACCCGCCACTTCCCGCGTCATTCTCAATTCGATTTATCTTTGCGATTTCAAACCAAAACATTCAAGGTCTCAGAAATACCGGGTTGCCGGCATGGGTATTTTACAAACAATCGCAGCTTGCTCTATGAGCGGCACACTGACAAAAAGGATGACCCAAGATTGGTGTGCGGAGTGACCTACCCCTTGGATCAGATACGGAGAATGTCGGCTGCGGCAATACCTTTTCCGATTATCGTCAGGGCGTAAATGACGTCCACTATTGGTCAGTGCATCGTTTGGCGAAAACTCAACGCTCAAGGACTTTATTTCCCCCTGACGATAATAGGGGTAAAGATACTGCCGTAACCGTAAATGCTACGTTTACGAGTTTTACGAGACACGTTTTAGACTTTTTTCGGGGAACTGGAACTTGAAACAAGAGGCGCTTGGAATCATGTTATTTATTAGCCGAAGCATTGGTCAAATTTGTTTTCGTGCCCAAATTTGATTGATGTGATAACTGTCTTCTTCTTCGCATTTCAAGCTTATTGCTTATCGCATATTAGCTTATTACGTGTTTTCAACTTAGTGCACTTCCACAGTTTTTAATGGAGAGCTTTCGATGCCTGTACCATTTCTGCATTAGTAATGGAAAAATATAATTTGGGTCTATTTCGGATTTGAATTAACGGAGTTGAAAACGGGTTTCACTCAAGTTCCCATTTTTGTCAGCCCCATCTGAAATTTTATTCTGGCAAAAACGGGAAGCTAAAATCAAGTTTAACCGTTATTTATCCATTATAAATGGAATTACTTATAAATGTTAACTATTCTTACAACAAAGCAAACACCAAACGTCTCGAAAAGTTTGCGTACAGTTGCCGTCTTAAGAGGTACGTACTGTTCGGTTTCCTTAAATTCCGCTTGGTTTTCTGCGATGCAACCAAGGTTGAACCTCCATATCTCAATATCAACGTAAATATACTAGCCAGGAGCCGTCTCTTGCTACTTCTTGGTCCCGAGATGTTTGTTATGATTCTGGCTACCGCGTTGATGGCCTTCGCTGTCTTCTCTCGTAGGCGTATTCTACGTGGCTATTGAATTGAAGCCAAACGGTCGTCGACCATAACTCCCAGGCATTTCAACACGCACTTCTATCAACAATCAATACGAAACTAACGATTTTAAATTGGCTCACTACTTGACTAGCCTATTGGTCCTAAGAAAATCGACTAACGTACCCCATTCTAGTCGAAATTTTAGTACTACGCAATGTTTGTTTTGATTAGCTATGAAAGTTTGACAGATAAAATGAGGGGTTATTGGTTTTTCATATGTTTCGAGGGGTGAATCGATTAGCTTGGGACCGAAGAGAGTACCAGAGCTGAGCCAAAAAGCTGAGCACGTTATTTCGTGACCTTCTAGTCTTAGAGTTACCTCTATGGTACCAAAGCTGAACCAAAAAGTTGAGCACGTTTCTTCGGGACCTTCTGGTCTTAGAGCTACCTCTATGGTAATACCAACAATCAATACGAAACTAACGATTTTAAATTGGCTCACTACTTGACTAGCCTATTGGTCCCAAGCAAACGATTAACGTATCCCATTCTAGTCAAAATTCTAGTACTACACAATGTTTGTTTTGATTCGCTATGAAAGTTTGACAGATAAAATGATGGGTTAGTGGATTTTCCTATGTTTCGAGGGGTGAATCGATTAGCTTGGGACCGAAGAGAGTACCAGCGCTGAGCCAAAAAGTTGAGCACGTTATTTCGGGACCTTCTAGTCTTAGAGTTACCTCTATGGTAAACCCGATCTCCTCTCCACTTCTGTTTCGACGCCTTCTCAGCTCTCTCGACAACTGTCCGAACTGCATCCACTTTTGCTCTTCTTTTTGGAAATCCGAACTGCATCTCCGACAATCCTTGTACACTCTCCTTGTATTTCGTCAGTCTGTTTAGGATGATCCTCTCCAAGAGTTTTCCGAGTGTATCCAGCAGGCATTGCTACGAGTTGCTCTTTGGTGACTGT